CATTAGTACCTCTAGTAATATATTTACTGAGAAAAATGGTGACGTGCACATTACTTATTTTACCCGCTGTATCTCTAATGCAAGACCCCATCTTGCATTGGCGATATATGAATCCTTAACATTTCTGTAAAACAAATCCAATGTCTTGTTTTCTAGGTAGAGCAGCTGACAAACTGTTGAAATGTTGGCAGTGTAGCAGAGAGTGAGGCATGATTAAAATCACCACATATTGACACAATTGCATTGGGGTGTTGTGTCCTTATCTTGGCAACAACAGAACTGATGATATCACACGCATTGTTAGCAGCAGCTGAGGGTGGAATGTAAACAGCTGCCAAAAATAACACTGGTGAACCCTCTTGATAAATAAMAATGGAAATTTACTGCCAAGAMTTCAATGTTTTGTCTGCAGTGACATAACTTCACAGTAACATGTCCTGGATGACACCATCTGTTGTTGAAAAGCACCGCTAATCCACCTCCTTTCTGTTTCCTGCTTCTCTTTAAATCTCTGTCTGCTCGTATGGAAGCCTGGCAGAGATACYTTGGCATCAGGGACATGATCCTGCAGCCATGTCTCAGTGAAACACATGACATCATTCCCTATACTCCGAGTCCTTGTGAGAGCTTGAAGTTCATCCAGTTTGTTAGCTAATGATCTCATGTTGCCCATTAGGATTGATGGAAGAGATGGTTTGAACTTCCTTCTCTCTCGCCTCTTTGCTCCTGCTCTGCATTCATGACACCTCCTTTTCAACTCCTCTGGGATTTGTAGCTTTAGTTGTGGTGATGATTCAGATTTTGCTATATTAATCCTATTAAAAAGCTGCTCCCTGTTGTAAAACAAACCTGTTGCTATGGTTATGCATCATAAAGAGCAAAGTATAAAAAAGTTTTGGCAAAAATCAATCCAGCTGCACAGAATCCAAAACAAACATGAAAGYCAGGAACGAATGCCCGAAAAGAAAAGAAAATCTCAATAAAATTAACAGAGCTTCTCCACCCCGAGCACCTGAGTAAGGTGTATTACCTGACACTTGTCTCCCAGGAAGTACTGACGCCCTGCGAACACCATGTAGTCTGTCTTCTGCATCTCTGTTACAGAAAGTAATCTGATTACAGAGTGTAGATGGTGATCAGATTACAGTGTGTAGACATCTCTGTTACAGAAAGTAATCTGATTACAGAGTGTAGATGGTGATCAGATTACAGTGTGTAGACAGTAATCTGATTACAGTGTGTAGACAGTAATCTGATTACAGAGTGTGGACAGTAATCTGATTACAGAGTGTGGACAGTAATCTGATTACAGAGTGTGGACAGTAATCTGATTACAGAGTGTGGACAGTAATCTGATTACAGAGTGTGGACAGTAATCTGATTACAGAGTGTGGACAGTAATCTGATTACAGAGTGTGGACAGTAATCTGATTACAGAGTGTGGACAGTAATCTGATTACAGAGTGTGGACAGTAATCTGATTACAG